ATATATATATATATATATGACTATTGCTGCTGTTTTACTTTGTGGTTGCCTGTATTATTTGTATAAGTGGTCCGTTTAAGCATTTAAGTTTTTAGATTAGGCTATTATTAAGATATAAACTCAGTGACCTCTGCTACAGTGGTATGTGGATTTAGACAGTTTGCACACACAGGCTGCCAGTTAAATACTGGGCATGGCTATTCTGGCTCATGACCTAAATCATAATCTTAAACTTGCATGTAGTGCATGTTCCTTCTCTATTATTATTAGACTGCATTGTATTGCTCTGAATATATATTTAAATATATGCCATTTTTGAACTGGCTGTATTTGTAAATTAGACTGAGCTATTCATACCTTGACTCACCATAAGTAAAGTAGAGGTTAAGTTAAAAGTGTATATCATCAACAATCACATCATATCATTGTTTTATAACTAATTCCTCATCATTGATATGTAAATAGCATTTAAAGGTTCTACCTTGTAGAGGTGGAGTTAATATGAACTTTATATAGTGTTTGGTGTAATCTAATTATTTTAAAGGATGAACATGTGTTCCTATGTGACATCTTAAATTAACAAGCAACTTTATATAAATCTAAAGGGTGCAGGGAAAACAGTAACTACAAACAAAACATGTTCTTCAGCTTTATTGTCCATTTAAACTAATTAGCAGGTGTCTAATTTGTAATTAAATATATTTAAACTTGTGAGTTGCTGCTACTCTGCTAAGCTAAGCTAGTTACCTTTTAGCAGAATTTGCTTTTCTGGTGGTCTGGGTCTTCCTCCCCATTATGGTTAGATTTAGCTACTGCTTTATTTATGTGGCATAACAAACTCAGTTTCTAAGATGCTAAACTATTGATTTTTCATTCAGGAAACAGTAGAAAGTGGGTAAATTACCATCATGACTAGCAGGTGAGATAGCCTCAAGTAAAGTCACTGCAGTATGTTACTGTTTTCCTACATCTTGGACATTTGTTCACCCCAAAATTAACTGAATTAACTAAATTTTGACCAAAATATAAAGCATTTTGGCTTTGCAGGGCAGTAACGATAGCTGTCAAATCAACGTAGTTAGTATAATAAATACTCGAGTAGATTTCCGTTTTTAAATCCGTCCACATGCTGTTTTGTCATTACCACTCACATTTGTTCCCCTTATGGTAAAGGTATGCTGTATCTCCCTCGACTCAAGTTACCACATGCCAGCAACAGTGAAAGCCTTGTACTGCAAATATATCAGCTATGTAAATATGGAATTGGCTCTGGCCCGAGATCTGGCATGTATAAATATGTCTGAGTGAGTTTTTTTTCCCACAACCCTAAAGGAATGAAGGAATGTCTGTGTTGAAAACTGCAGTGGGATCAGGAAGTGTCTGATATGTGTTGCATATCAGAGGCTATTGCAGTCATTTGCAGTGGTTTGATATTTCCTGAAAATGAACATGGGTTACCTCAAGGTTGTTTTCTTTTTATGAAGAGGAACATCCTGTTTACGTGTTGTTTAATTTATACTCTACTCCCTTACTTTCCTCTTGTAAACATATGTTTCCTTTACAGCCTCATTAAGAGTATTTATCCTCAGCCGGTGTTGTTCGTCGCTGCAGTTTAATTGAACCATGGACTCAGTGTGATGTCAAACTGGCATCCTGCCATTGACATTTTATTATTATAACAGTAGAATGCTACTCATAATCGGTTGTCCTTGAGAAAGAAAAAAAAAACATACTGACATTTTTCATTCTCTCTATCTCCTTTTCTTAGAGAGGGACCACTCACCATTTCCTCCACACACCAAAGATGACAGCTCCATCAAACCTAACCCATGCAGCACCACAGCAACAACGCTTTTTGGTGTTGTTCGACTTTGATGAGACCATCATCAATGAGAGCAGTGATGACGCTGTGGTACGTGCTCTGCCAGGCCAGCAGCTTCCTGACTGGCTGAAAAACAGCTACAGGGAGGGGCACTACAACGAGCACATGCAGAAGGTCTTGGTTTATATGGCGGAGCAGGGTGTGTCTAAGGATTCCATCCAGTCAGCGGTGGAGAAGATCCCACCCACACCTGGCCTCCTGAACCTCTTCCAGTATCTGCAGAACCACCAGCAGGACTTTGAGCTGGCGGTGGCCTCCGACGCCAACATGTATTTCATCGAGACGTGGTTGGAGCGCGCCGGGGTGCGTCACCTTTTCCGGAAGATTTTCACAAACCCGGCCAGTTTTGATGCGACTGGCCGTCTTGTGCTGCTCCCTTTCCACTCCCACTCGTGCTCCTGTTGTCCTGACAACATGTGCAAGCAGGTGATCCTTCGGGAGTATTTGGCAGGCCGGCAAAAGGAGCGCGGTGGTGCTCCCTTCCAGAGGGTATTCTATATAGGAGATGGGGCCAATGATATCTGTCCCTCTTTGGCTCTGGGGCCCCGGGACACAGCCTTCCCCAGGAGGGACTTCCCCATGCACAGGCTGTTGCTGGCCCAGGAGGCAAAGTTCAAAGCAAACATAGTTCCTTGGGTCAGTGGTGAGGACATAGTGGACTGCCTGAAGAAAATAATGGAGGAGAGATGAGATCAGCGTGTTTGTATTACACTGTGTGTGTGTGTGTGTGAGAGAGAGAGAGAGAGAAAGAGGGGGGCAAATATAGCAAAAGTATACCAACCCCAGTCCTAGTGAGCAGAATATGCATGATTTTACCCCAGCCACACTTGGTTCAACCTGTTAAGATGTAGCTGAATAGTGTCTATTTGAATCACCTGTTTTAAAAGAATAAGTTTTGGAAATACTTTCTTGTGGAGAGTTAGATATGGAAAATTGAATTCACTGTGATGTTTGTACAGTAAATATGTGGCTGGAGCCAGCAGCAAATTATCTTAGCTTAGCATACAGAATGGAAAATTTTTTTGGGATTACACAATTGAGATATGTTAATTAGGGAGTTTCAGAGACAGTGAAAGGTGAATTTTTTGACCTTTGGACATCGTCAGGCTAGCTGTTCCTTTTGTTATCAGTCTAAATGCTAAGCTAACATAACCAGCAGTATATTTACCACAACAGATGAGAGAGTGGAATCTTTTCATCTAACTCGTGGCAAGAGAGCAAATTTCCCAAAATGTCAAACTATTCTTTTAATACTAGCCTGGTATAAAAGCCAATTTTTATTCATAGATTTAAAGTGTGTATGCAGTATCAGAAATTGACTCTCATTGGAATGCAAATAAACAAGCTCACTGGTCAAGATTATCATGATCAATAATGAAGATATGCAGCATTGATGATGTACTAAGTTCTGTTTTTTTGAGTGTGATCAAGATGCTTAAGATCTCAACCAAAGTTGTGTCTAGTGATCTCCGGCGTGCACTACATCCAATCAGCACTCAGCTCATTTAACACACCATACCCCTCAATGTGAATGCAATTTACTTTACATTTGAATATCTCACTCTATGTGACATTATTGAGCAATCTTAGCTGTGAAATGTTTTTGTCCCAGCTACTGTTAGACTGTAGAGATTTTAGTGACCAAGAAAAACAGCTTAAAAAGTAATCCATTTATGGGGGTCTCTGTGCTGACAGGCTTCTTTTTAGAACACTTAACGCTGCATTCAAGGCCCTCGACGATGGACACATAAGTAGGATCAGGTCTTATAGCACTACTTGAGACAAAAGACCACACATGTCGTGTCAGGCAGGGACAAGTACGGCATAGAACGAGGATAAGGTGACAGTATCTGTGCTCTCTCCACCACTCATTACTGATACCTAATCTAGGGCTTGATTATACAATGGTAACCAACACCAGCATGAGATCTAAAGGGATCCCTGTAGCCATTCGCCTGTACTTTGGCCCAGCATTACACCCTGTGACTCTGAAACAATGGAAATAGTGTAATGCACAGTATCAATTGAAGATTTTAAATTCTATTTCTGTAGTCATTAGCTAGCACTGTACTTCCAATGAATATTAGTATGTAGGTCGGGGAGGATTTATATTCTTTGAAAAGTCCAATACTGTCTTTATGTTTGAATGCATTACCAGTAAACTGCAGTGTTATGAGTGAATGATTATGAGGGTTTTATCCTCTTTTATAATCCTCTGTATATTTGCATAACCTAACATAACCTCATTTTGACTCACTAAATTCACGACAGTGACTAGAAAATGTATTTTAAATGATCAATAGGAGCTTATGTATGGATTGAAATGGTTTACAGGGACATTCATATTCTGTTTAACTTCAGAAAAATGTGAAATATGTCTTCAATCTTGTAAGTGAAACTTTTTGTCTTGCCATTCAATAAGCTGTCCGATACAAATGGGGCATGTATACTGTATGTTGATCTTTGAAGCCTGTTTAAGGTTTCCATGTTAGTATGCACACTCACTGAACAAAGGTCCTGTCTAGTAACTTTAGGCCAGAGTTAGTATCAATACATGAGTGTATATTTGCATTAATTTTGTATTTCAAATATTACAAATAATTAATCCATATACTGTACATCTTTTTCAAGCCATTACAGTGAAAATAAGAAAGTTGAAAGATTTAAAGATGAAGTACTTCTAGCCTTAAAAAACAAAATTATTCTGTATAAGTGCTGGAAATGTCGTCTAACCAGTGTTTTAGTTTCTCAGGGAGTAGAGAAAAAAAGTTTTAACAAGTATAATAATATATGTTTATAAAGATCTGCTGCTCTAAGAACAAAATGAGTGATTCAAAAAGTATAGATGTTTATGAGACATAATCAATGCAGCTGGAGTTTGATCCTGAAATAGTTTGAGATCAAAACCTAATCCTTTATTTGTGATTAGGAGGCTAAAGTTCTGTGAGCTTTACTTCTTCTGATGCTAGAGGTAGGGGTATTTTGATTTGCTTTAACTGTCTGTGTATTTGTAAAACTTCCATGGAGTTTGTGCAATAATTAAACGATGAATACTTGATATGATGTAAAAAAGATTTATGGTCAAACAGAAAGAAAAACTTGACATTTTCAGGGATGTGAATTGACCCCAGATCACCAAACTAAAGTGTTTTTAATCAAACTTTAAAATGGTAATATGGCTTCACAACAACCAAATAAAAGTATGTGTTGTATGGACTCTGCTCAGCTAATGTGCTGCTTTTTTTTCTTCTTTTTTTGTGGTTTGCTGTGACTTGGGTGTGTGTTTTTAATCCAAGATCAATTTATGTGTGTAATGCATCAGTGTAACAGGAATATAAAGCCATTATCTGATTAATCTGTTTCTGTTGTGTGTTCCATGAACGATAAACTATTACAGTCTTGTTTCCTCTTAAGGATCAATTAGGCTCTCACTTCAAGATCAATTAAGTAGCATTTATGAAGCTTTCATATCATATAACATGATCTGTATCAGTTTTGAGTTCACAGAAATGCAAAATCATCAAATGTCTTCATAAATGAAATATATAAAAATATACATTCTTACATTTCCATCAAAATAATAATTATTAAAATATGCCTTTTGAAATATTCATTTTTACCTATATTAACCTGACTAACCTGACATGAGTCAATTGTCAGAATAAATAACTATTTTGATCATTGACTATTCATTCCTAATATTTAGAGAGCAGGGTTGCCGATGGCTGACATAGAATGCTGATATCAAAATAAAGAATAAAGCCTGTGGCACTTTGCTGAGTGTCATCTCCTCTCTCTCTCCCTCTTTCCTGTCAATCTTCAGTTGTCACTGTCAATTAAGGGCAGAGAGATATAGAAAAATATTTAAAACCAAAAAATTGTGTTGTGGGAAATGTAATCTTGAAAATTGATATGTCTTTTAAAAGTTGAGTTAAAAGAAGGAGGACGTCATTAAAAAGCTTCCAACAGCCAAATAAAGTCTCAGTAGAGAGCAACATTCCTAAATGAGTTAGGATCAACAATTTGACAGTTTAACTGCTTTGCATTTGTTGATGTCACTGGTTTTAATTTATTGTTTTGGAAGAGTAATTCAAGCTGGTGCTGGTGCTGGTGCTGCTTATAAGAGAATGGGGGAGTGATTTAGGGGAAGGGACAAGGAGAAGAAACCTCACATGATGCAGTGTGTCTACTTAAAGTAGCTGACATGTTGATTTAGTAGCAGAGGCAGAAGCAGACAAAGGAGGACAGAAGAGACCCGGAGTGAGAGGAGTCATCCAAAACACTTTCTCAACTTGCAAAACTTCAGACAGCTAAAGGACGAAGTGAAGACAGAAAGGCAGGATTAGAGGAGAGTGGGTGAGAGCGCAGACAGAAGAGCAGAGATCAGTTGAAACAATCAGCAGTATGGAGGAGAACAAAGATGGACAGCAGCAGTGAGATGCATAAACATGTCACCACCATGGCCAGGAGTGACCTTCACTGGAGGCGGAGAGACTACATTAAAATGGAACTCCACTAATTTTACACTTTAAAGTCTGTTCACTGGTCGTGGGGAGTACTCCTGAGTATGTGGAAAAGGTTGTATAAAGACTTTAGTGGCTCTAGAAGAAACTACACAAAGAGGACCTTTACCCTCTGTAGATAAAAACGTCTCATTCTGTAACAAAAACACATTGATTTTTATTTTCAGGTGATTATACACTACTGAAAACATATAGATCCTCCTAAATGTTGCACACTGTCCCTTAAATAAAGCAAAAATGTCATACTTTCAGCTCCTCAGGCTTAACTCATATCCACACTAAGGTCATAGCCTGTGACAAAGGGTTAAGAGGTGACTAAGCAAAAAGGTTGGGAACAACTGGTTTACAGTATGTGCCGGACTTCTGTATGCATCTCTTGACCAGAAGATGGCGCCAAGTCAACATATCTCTATCAAAACTGCTTGGGAGTGTCCTGTACACTGTACAGAAACATGATTATGTCGGTTACAATACACTTAGACCAAGTTGGGTGGGGGGTTACACTGGATTAATGATAAAACCACATGACAACAGCAGAATGAGGCTTCCTTCGGCAGTAGCGCTGATGTGAATTCATGAAACAACTCTCAGAGAATATGACAGCAAAGGCTCAAGGCTGTGGTGAGGGAGATGAGATGTGGAGATGACATGTGTTGTTTGTGCGTGCTCCATGTCACCGTGTGAGTTTGAAATGCTGCTGAAGTCAGCCAAGTCATTTGTTGATTCAGCTCTGTGGAATTTAGTGTATTTTCTGTCCCCTTTGCCTCCCATAACCATATTTCTGCATTTAACCCTTATTTTAGCTCTTCCCCTACTGCCCTTCTTCCGTTCTAGTTTGACCTTTGTCAGATGAGATCAAGACATTTCGTGTATCTATCCTTGCATCCAATCTCTCCATCGTTGATTTCTTTCCACATCTTATTCCTTCTCTCTTATCCATTCTGTCACTCTGTCCCTCTGGGTGATTTCATGTCATTGTCGTTGTCTACCATTATATTTTCTGTTGTCAGTCCTGGACCCCCTAATGATAACGTCACCAACAAAGAACTGACTGTGCAAAACACTTGTAGCCCACACTTACTTTGCTTTTGGTACTTATGTCTTGCCTTCTTTTCCCAATATGATTTAGTCATCAGTCTTTGGAAAACCTCTCTGTTGGCTCTGGACTTTTGCAACTCTCAGCTCAATCGATCCTACCGCAATTGATCCTTCAATTTAGGTCATATTGAGGCTGACATTGTTAGGGAAAGAGTACATGCTGTGTCTATTATGATTAAATAGGCAAAAGATAACTTGCTGTCCAACCCAATTTTCAATGACCTCCAGAGGTAAGTGGAAGGACAGAAAACCCAATTAACATCAATCTATGGAGAATGATGACAAATCGTATTTGAAGATCTTGAACTCGTCAATGACAGCCTCACCGCCTCCTGTTGTACCTCCCTGTCAATATCCACATAACAACTGATACAGCCCTTCCCCCCCGCCAATAACAGAAGACACTCAACTGTTAAAATGCTTTAAATTGGCAGGGCTTTCCGATGATTGCTTTTATTGATACCCTCATTGATTTTTCTCCATTCAATTACTCCTTCTGAGGTGAAAGATAACTCAGTTAAGGGACTTGAGCCTTGTAAGAGGTCGCTCTGAATTAGGATGTGGACTTCCGATGCCAAAACGCTATCAGGTTGATTAGGGTTGTAAGTGTTTCCACTGCTCTGTGTTTGATTTTTCTGCTGATAGTTTAAGAATACAATGCCAGCCAAAAGTCAAGCTAATGGCTTTGAGCAGTAGGCCTCCCAAAGAGAGAAACAGTCAGAGAAAAACAAGGGGAGATGGAAAGAAGAGGGACGCGTGGGCTGCCTCCGCTGACGTTTGTCTATGTCCTTGAGATCAACGCTGGAGATAAAACTTTAAGATTCTTTCGCTTGTAGGTCATCAGCCACAGGGAAAGACAATGTCTGAATTGTATTGGCATGTCCTTGAGGATGTTAAATACAAGAATATGAGCCTTACTGCATTGAGAGAAGCTTTTGTGTATCCATGAGTTATCTGCTGAAGCTGAAACAGTTCAGGGAAAATGGGGTGGAGGCCATGCAGTGTGCGGTATAATAAAATACTTTATCTTGTGTGGCATACAAATTAAAGGACCAGTGTGAAGGATTTAGTGGCATCAGGTGGTGAAGTTTCAGATTGCAACTAGGTGAACACTGTATTTGACGACCTGGGAATGAAAATGAGTTGTGAAGTTTGTAGGAAAATCTATGGTGGCTGCAAAACTAAAAAAAAATGCAAAAGTTCCTTTAACAACCAGTGTTTGGTTTGTCCGTTCTAAACTACAGTAGAAACATGCTGAACTCCATGGAATTATCTGTAGATAAAAACGACTCATTAGAAGGTTACAAAATCACAAAAAATCCTATATACAGGTGATTAAACACCAATGCTAACATACCTATAAATATTATATTTCATTTCAGCCAGTAGATCCTCCTAAATGTGACACACTGGATCTTTAAATTATGTTGTTCGAAATGATCAGAACCAAATGCTTTTGCCAAAAGTAGTCCATTATATTATTATTTTGGTAAAGCAGCACTATGGTATCCAGCTTACATGAAGTTAAGGGACTTACAGATACATATTTTTTTAAATTTGGCAAAAATTGAAGCTGAAGAGGCCGACATATCCTAACTTTTAACCTGCTGGCCTTGTTCCATTTCAGGTATTTATATTGCCAAAACAGAATAATCTGATCAAATTTACGTTCAACATTAACTAGCTAACATCTAGCTGTTGTTGTTTTTATGTTGAAATATTTCCAGAGCTCTCACGCTAACTTATCAATACATTGATGTAACTGCAATGACAATAATATAATTTGTGATAAGAAGCCCATGTCGTTGAGCGTTCACACCTAACTACACAACACAACCACTGTAGAGTTAAAATACAAGATGATGGAGTTGGGGCACCTCTTTGATAACAGGGCCCTCATCCTTAACACTTCACACCCCCAAGTTTGTACACAGGTTGATCAAATCATCAGGATTATTTTATTATTTAGAAATCTCCCATAAGAACTACAGATGTCATTATACGGCTGTTTTTTTTTTTTACATACTGAGTAGTACTCTCCATGACGAGTTAACTGACCTTTATGTGTAAAATTCATGGGGTTCCCCTTTAAGGCAGCTTGCTGAGGACTTGATAGCAGAAGGTAAAAAGGCTCCTGATGAAAACAAACGTCACGGATCCACGATTTGTATCCAAACCTGATGGAAGAAGATGAAACAAACTGTTGGTGTCTGCTTAGTCTCAGACTCTGTCTAAAGACAACAGTGTGGTAAATATATGTGTTGTCTGACAACTTTGCCGTTCTCATAAAGCCTTGAATCATGATCAACCGTTTGTGCAGCCAGAGAACTACGAGGAACTGGAACCTTAGCATTCTTTGCAAAAGGGTGTAGGAGTATTCATACGATTAACAACACATTTTTTTACATGCTCTGCTGCACTAAGCTAATCATAAACCATCTCTGTGCACTGGCTGGAGTGGATAAATCTGCCATCTAAAGATAAAAGTCTTCATTTGTCACTAGATAATCTTCCACATGTCCTCAATGACAAATAGACATGGAGGAAGAGATAGGTTATAACCTTATGTGGCAACAGAATAATGGAGTGCATCTGTGCAGTGCTTTTAAACAGTACTAGTAGAACTGGTATTTCCCACATGATTAAGACTCCTTTGGCATTGCAGATACAAAAGGTGAGGTATGTGGTTATGGATGCAGTGAGAAAGAAATGCAGGTGTGCCAGTCTGCCTGTATTTGAGCATGACAGTGCATTCTTTAAAAAAAAAAAGAGCATATATCCCCATATTTGAGATAAATTTCATATAGAAAGTTATGAGTTTTGCACAATTTTCATAAAAATATTTTATAACAATGTCAATATGGAAAACCTTATTTATAATGTTGACTCACTTTCTGCCTCTCTCTCTCTCTCTCTTTAAGGTGTGCCAACAGATAATGGAGTTGTCATCTTGTGCTTTTGTTTTGCTTGGTGTTCATAACAGGTACTCATCAGCGGAGGACTCGGTATTCTTTAACCACATGATTTTTAATGTACTCCTTTTGGCATTTGCAGATTACAAGTTGTGAGGTATTTGTGGTTGTGGTTGTCAGTGGAAATGAAATGCGGTGTGCGCATGTCTGTCCTGTTTATTGTGAGCATCGACAGTGCATCTCTTTAAATGAATTACAAAGAGCATCATGATTTCCATTTATTCTGAGATAATTATATTTGTCGATTACTAGAGAGGTTCGTTATGAGTTTTTGCATCTATACTTTTTCTATAATCTATTTTTATCTCATACAATGTCACTTGCCATTGGTTAATCACACCTTATTTATAAATTCGTCTGACTTTGTCACTTGTTCTGCTCTCCTCATCTCTTCTCGTTCTCTCTCGGTTTTTTTTTGGGCTTGGGGTGCGCTCTGCCTTGGTGTTTGTTTTTTCGTTTGTGGTCTTTTTCTGGTTCTGATCGTCCTGACCTCTCCCTTCTGTGTGTTCGTCTTCCTCCTGTGCGTGCTTGGTGCTCTCTCTCCTCTCTCTCCGTCTCTCTCCTCCTCTCACACACCACACACAC